TGCGGGGCTTGAAGAGGTCTAAAGCCGGGTTGCACCATCTTACTTTAACTTTGACAAATGTCAAAAATCTGTCAAACTCCATACAAAAAACATCGGTTATCGTCATAGTTATGGTCAAAGTTAGGTGGTGCAACTCAGCCTAAGAGATACAGATTAATAAATAATTGTCATACACTATTTTAGATTAAATAACTTTGCAATTGTAGTTAATTGAACAGATAGTTGAGATCAATCCCAAAGTTAATCTATTGTATTGTAACGTCGACTACCCCAAATGGCAAACAAAACAATTATTAATTCAATAAACGTCCAGTTGTAGCGACAAGAAATCCCATCGGCTTAATTTTAATTAATTATTAACCACCAATCCCACAATAGGAATAAAACAAAGGATGTTAATCTGCACCAAACACGGGCTCATATTCAATTATGCCCGCGCCCGGCGAATTCGTAATGACGCGACACGACGCGGTAATATAAGCGAATTACTTTTGTTTCAAATTACTTGTATTACTATTTATATTTTTACAGTAACGTAGCAGCTATGTTATCAGAATATAAACCATTAACCAATAAGTACCTGGCATTCTTATTTTATAATCGTATTATGTAATTAATTAAACGTCTCGCAATCGATTTGATAAATTAATTAAAAGCTTTACGTGAAATCATAAAATTAAAATCTTTTAAAAAAGAAAATTGAAGTATAATTATTCTAGACGTTTTTACTACATAAATTAGGTACACAGGAAAAAGGTACCTTAGTTGCGTATTTAATTTTGTTTAAAATATATTGTTTCTCGTTAAATTATTTTAAAAATCTTCTGTGCACAAATTACGCGACCAAAATAATAGATTATGTTCACTTCATAAAACGTACGTAAATGTCCACTATCCATCACTGTCCGTCAACCGCCCGATAAAAGTCGCGCGGCGCTACGCGGGCCCGTAGCGGCACTTGGGCGGGTAGCGTGGTCGCGCGCGGTCGCTGCGCCGTAGTCGTCCGCCGTAGTCTCGGAAACAACTACGAAAGTACTACGAAAGTTTCCCGCTGAATTGTTGATATGAAAGAGTGGTAAAGGATGTTTCTAGTGTGGATTTGAGTTGGAGATTGGCGAGAATTTGTAAGTCACCTTTATCTTTTTGTTTGCTCTGCGGGTAGATTGTAGAAACTTTTGAATTCGTGTTTGTAAAGTAACTGGAAACTAGATAAAGTTTTGCTATAGCAAAATTTAGGATCAGTTTAAACTAAAGATACCTAGTTATTACATCTATACTTATAATAAATCTGTAGAGAGGTCAATTCTGTACATGAAATATATTTTCAAAATAACTATCAGGGGGTGATTAGTGATCGATACTGATGCCAAAAATGCAATCAGTAAATTTTTTGTCTGTCTGTCTGTATGTTCCTTATAGAAACAAAAACTACTCGACGGATTTTAACGAAACTTGGTACAATTATTTTTCATACTCCTGGGCAGGTTATAGGATACTTAGGAATTCCCACGGGAACGGGCATTAGCGGGAAAATCCTTTTGTATGAAAAATCTAAACCGCTTGAGTTAGACGCTTGAAAGGAGATCATTCAGGCTTCATACATTTTTGGGCCTTTTCTGAAAGTGCCGGCCAACAAAAAAAATTGGTGCGTATTATTAGAACTAGCTATTTGGAGCAATAGTTAATATGGCATAAAAGTTGTAGGACCGCTCTGAACCAAGTTATACAAGTTCGATGATTCATCATTTTCATGCATTTATTGATTTTTGAAAGTGCAGAGAATCATATAATGATTATTGATATTGCTAGAACTAGTTATTTGAAGCATCTGTCATTATAGTGCGAAAGTGTGGGTTCATTGTCTGTTCAGTTATTTAAGTGACAAAAAAGTAGTTTTCATGTTACTTCATTTTCCACCAGTTCATCCATTATAATCTGAGCAATATTTATAAAACCTTCCTCTCACGAAGCCCAGGTGTATCTACGCCGTGTACCAATATCTCCACGACAGCTTATACACAAATGATTAGCCACTTCACACAACAAACGGAATCTGAGTCGAATATTCACATATAGTCCGGTCGCCGAGCACGTAGAAGTTTGGCCAATGACCCCAAGCTACCCATCCTTATCGCTCGCACGTAATTATACCTATTGCTGTCGCGATTGTGCGACGGGCGGCCGCAGTGAGTGTGCGAGCGCGACAGCAACATAGATTCGTGCGAGCGAAAAAGATGGATAGCTTGGGGTCATTGGACGAAATTCTACGTACTCGGCGACCGGGCTTTAACAATGATGTTTAACGATAACGCAAGCAGGTAGCCGTTTGATGTAACGCGAGTCGCATGGATAACTGGATGACCTTCACTTCAGTTTTCAATGTCCCCGTCTCATTCACTGACGGGTATGCTCCGAGCCATCCTATTGGCTGGCATGTTTGCTCGTTTCTTCCCGGCCACAGCGACACTGCTAGCGCGGGCCACGGATGTATCTTTTTCGTTTCGTCATCGCGTCATTTGATCGCTAACTTAGAGCGGTCGGTTGATAATTGTTTTNAGATGGAAGAATCTTCTACCCAAAAAGATGGCAGATGCAGCAGATGTCAACTGATTTAAAACTGGAGTTGATGTGACTCCTTGTAGACTTGAGTGTCTAGAGCGTCCCTTCCTCCACCATGCGTAAGAATTTTCACAAAAATACTGTCTAAGATCTGTAGCTAAAGGTCTAAGCTGCAAGATAAAATAATCTTCTAGCCAATAACTTTAAAACTATAATTTGAACGAATTTTGCTATTAGTGGACAAAGGATGATGGGCACTTTTCTATGGAATCTGGGCGTAAAACCAACAGAAATGTAACTACTATTATTTGTTAGGACTTAGTATCAGAAATATATTTTCATATAAATAACTACCAAAAACTCCCGGGTTTGCTTGGAAATTGACATAATGTATAATAGTCATAGGTGTTTTATTGCGCAAACAAAAAATATAATCAATTAATATACCTACATTGATACATTAAGTTATTTTTAACAATTATTATGTCCAACAGTTAAGGACTGGGGCCAACAAATTGTATAAAATAAGTCCATGTTCTACATTACGTGCGTAGGACCACACCTGGTCTACTCGTAGGTACCATTTAGAGAAATGAAATGAACACACAGTCAAGTTTCAATGGGATTTCTACCAGTTAAGCTTTAGTGTTGTCGCATAATCGATCCGTGATCGATTATTAATCGATATTGCCAAATAACGATTTATCGATTAACAATTCGATTAATCGATTTTATTGATAACCATCATTACTATCATTTGATTGTCAATTCGATTCCTTATTTTCAGCAATATAATCGATTATTTCAATCGAATAATCGATTATGATTTATTCGGTATACATACTTACTAAATCGATAGAATCGATAGTAAGATATGATACAATACTCTCAATATGATCGATAAAAGCAATCTAATTGATCTAATACTATTTTTATTACTCTAATGTGATGTAAAATACTATAGAAACTTTGCATATTCAACGACCTCTATCTCCGTATCCCCGCGTATTTCAGGATTGTTGTCATACTATGAAATACAGAACATGTGGATGAGGGTATTATAATCTAACTGGTATAAAACACTAGGCTTATTGTCTCTAAGTGTAGATTAATAATAATAATAGTATACTTTTTGTTTCTGTTGGTTTAACGCCCAATATGCCCATCATCCTTTCTGCTCACGATGGACTAATTATCTGCTATACTCTCGACTCTCTAATGCACAACATTTATAAAAATTTTGCTGCGGTAATGCACTCCAGGTAAGTGTGTGATGCTCATTGCTTATAGTGATTTTCGATACAGAGCCCCGTACATACGTTATACATAAATTATGGAAAGAAAACACCCAGACCAATACAAACAAATATGTATGCAATTTTAGTATGATATTTTGATTTATTAATAAACAAAAAGACTGAATAAAATTGATGCGTGTACTGATTAATGTAATTAACCACATGCAAAGCTTTGTGAATTGNAGGATTACAGTCACCAAGCCATAGAACAAGGCTCAAGTAGTTTCAAAGCAAGATCTGTCAAGGCTTAGTCGAAATCGAGCACTTTATGTTTCATTCCATACAACGAAAATGGAAAATATTTTTTTCCAGTCAAACTATTGGTTTTAGAGAAAAACTTGTGCAGCATTTATTCATCAGAATAACGTAACCTATCGATAGGTATTTTTTTCAAATAGAAATTGTGAAAAAAATCGCTATGTCCATAAATCTCAATTTCGCTCCATAGTGCGCTGGCGTGCGTTGTAGTACCTAATTCTATGATCGAAGTATTATTTGAAAATGGACATAAAGAGAAAGAAATATTATTGTGCGGCGTTCGGGTGTTTAAATTCGAAAAGAAATCTACCGGATTTCTTTTTTTTTTCGCTTCCCAAAGATGCTGAAAGGTATGTTGGCCATGTAGGTAATCAATAATTCTTAGGATAGTATAGGAACCTAACCTACCATGACTACTGCTCAGAATGCGTTCGTTCGTTTCAGCCAAATGACGTCCACTGCTGGACAAAGGCCTCTCCCAAGGTTTTCCATAATGAATGCGTAGGTACTTACCTACATACGTAGCTCATTACAAATAAGTAGATTAATTATTTTTTTACTAGACAGACAGCAACCCTAACAGCGTAAGAAGAGTTCAGAGGCACGCGATAGAAAGAGACAAAACTTGTAGGTGAATAAAATTGTAGGTACGTAGTGCTGTGCGAGCTGAATTCCACTGTATCGCGTCGTAGAAAGACTCGCATTTATTTAAATCGTTTTGCGGAGTAATCCTTCTGTACCTGTATTATTACTTATTCTGTGCTATTACCACATTACCTACTTTGGCTACAGCTTTGGTTAGTTGTAGGAGGTGTAAGCTAATTGGTTTTTGTAGCTTTGTGTGTGAAGGATGCCGACGGGTAAATTGTAGAGCCAAGTACTTACCCGTAAAGCCCTTGTTTCTGGCTCTGAAAATGGATGCGGTCCGCTATAAAGTTCCTTGCACGGTTGCTTTTCTGCAACACCTTTAATATGCCAGTCTGTTCTGGAATGGAGACAATACCTAGAATACCTACATACATGCAGCGTCGTCTATTTATTAGTCAGTGTCAAAAAGTGGCAAAAAGTTGATAACACAACCTTAGACGTGTTGCGAAGTTATTGTATACTTTGGTGTCACGAAGCTAACGATAGCATGTAAAACTATAGGACATTTTTGTAGCAAATTCGCCCCTATTCCCTCTACATAAAGCGCTACTAAGTGAAAAATGTGTAGTCTTCCATACATTGTTTCGCTGGGTGACCGGTCAGTCATAAATTAGGTAAGTAAGGTCTTGCTAAAAATATCTTACCCAAAGTTTCTGTTCAAATCCACTCCTTTGCAATTGGATTTAACGTTGCGGCCGCGACTCTTTCTCCAGAACCGGTCGCGCTGGTAGGTATACCGGAACCCGTCCGGGTTTAGTAGCGGAATGACGTGCCTGCATTATTTTAAAACGTAATTAAATAGGTACAGTCGCCATCAAATAGTTGGTGACTCCTAAAGTAGCCAATAAGTTCGCAAGACGTCTTTATTAGTTGAAATAAGGTTTTTTTGTCAACTTTTTGGCTACTTTGGGTGTCACGAAGACAAACTATTGACGCTGACTTTACTAGGTAAGTACTAAAATATTCCACACAAACATCTTTAAAAAATATTTTTCCGGGAAAAGGACATTTTAATCTAGGACCTGTTCTGTGTGATAAACCAGTAATTAAATGATTACTATCATTGTTAGAGGAAAAATACAAATAAGTAGGAACTTAGTTATGTGAGGACTTTTTTAACGTGTAGAAACCAATATGTAGGTAAGTCCTACCTATTACAAATCCAAAGAACTGATTAAGGAAAAGCCAAGGTCAAGTAGGAAAACTAAATTACCTAATAGATCAAGTGTTGATTCACGCATTGGGATAAACTGTAGGGGCTGATTCTTGACATATTAAATATTGAGATAATAAAAATACTTACGACTTACGAATTTTTTATGTGCTAGTTAAGACCATTTTTTTTTGGTGAAGGTTTCTAATAATTTGCTTATGGGGAGTTATGGAATCCGGCACTGACGGCTTGTGACTGTGTGTGCCAAGATTTACTTATCTACTAACTACCTAAGTAAGTAGCTAGGTACCTAATTAGTTTGTCATTACAGTGCAACAAAAGTTCACGATAAGTCTATTAGTTTACTAACCAATCTTTATCTTGCACATATTTGGGCTGCTCGTCAAACTTGGTGACGATCTCTCGCAAGATGATCAGCGCAGACGTCATGGCGATCCACTCCCGCGCATGCGACCCGGCCACCAGCAGGATGCCTTGGTTTTGCGGGTTACCGTTCGATATTGTTAGCATCTGATTGAAATTGATTAGGATGTTAAAACTTGAGGCAAACTAAGCTGGTGCACGTTTTTCAGATTGTTATTTATAAGGTGGCAAAACAAAAGAGGAGCAGAAAAACTTTTTGATTCTGGTTTTATTAAGGGCTGTAGTGGAGTAAGTAAGGTCAGCTGTAGCAACGGTCCTGTCACTCGCTAGTGGCTAAGGGCGAGTTGCACCACCTAACCTGACTTTGACCGTAAATTTAACGATATCCGGTGTTTTTTGTTGAATGGAGATTGACAGATTTTTGACGTTTGTCGAAGTTAAAGTAGTAAGATGGTGCAACCCAGCCTAAGACAGTGGCGCCAACTGGTGAGCCCTGAAGCGGTAGGAAGACTCTAGCATTGCACTTACCAGGATGACGTCACTGTAGAAGTGTAGAGTAAGGTTCTGCCACTTTCCAGTGGTGTCAACTTTTGACCATAAAAATGATACCCCTCATTGAAAGGAAGAAACTCACCTGGATAGTTGTATTTTCAGAAGACTTGCCTATTTCTTTTAGTTTACACACAGAAGGGTAGTTCTTAGCTAGATAATCCATGTATTCGTTTATAACTTCCACAGTTGGGTATTTACGCCAGTTCATTCTGTGACCTTTAACAACATAAGAACATAGGTATTATAAGTGATACCAAAATAATTATGAGGTAAAATTATTTGCCCTCTGTTTAGTTATTGACACTAGAAGTGGCAGAATAATAGGTAAATCATACTAATTTAAAAATATGAGTAAGACCTGTTTATTCCATTGGACTTTAGAATGGATAGACTGCAGTTTAGTAAAATAAGACATGTTGCGCCTTACTTAAAGTATGTATCATACCTAGATAATTTATATAAACTAAGAAATTTATATTTACCTATCCTGTAAACATTCCACTGGTGCCTTTCTAACCTGAACTGGTTTTGTTAACTCTGGCTGGATCTAGAACTACTAATTCAATCCCCTTTCGCGTGCAAGGAAAGTCTATAAAATTATATTGCTCTAGTATAAGTAATCACTAGAAAGTACGGTAGTTATGTATATCATATTGAATTGTATCAACGTAGCGCGTTTACGTATAAAAATACTAGCTTTCCGCCCGCGTGGAATGTTTTGTTACAGAAAACCTTTATCGCGCCCTGTTTCAAAAACCGGGACTCACTATCTTTATGCCAAATTTCATAAAAATCGGTTTAGTGGTTTAGGCGTGAAAGCAAGACAGACAAGAGTTACTTTCGTAGATATTTATAAAATTAGTCTAGATTAGAAGCCCGCATGACCTAGTGGTTCGCGTACCGGACTGCTTACTAAGCTAAAGGTCGCGCGTTCGATCCCCGTACCTATACAATGTTTGTAGTTTCAGAATACTTACCGTAGTTTTATCATCAATGGAATGGCGTTTTATAATAATTAGAGGAACATTTAAGAGGAGTTTGTCGAACGGCCGTTATTAAAAGGAGATCATTCAGGCTTCATACATTTTTGGGCCTTTTCTGAAAGTGCCGGCCAACAAAAAAATTGGTGCGTATTATTAGAACTAGCTATTTGGAGCAATAGTTAATATGGCATAAAAGTTGTAGGACCGCTCTGAACCAAGTTATACAAGTTCGATGATTCATCATTTTCATGCATTTATTGATTTTTGAAAGTGCAGAGAATCATAATATAATGATTATTGATATTCCTAAAACTAGTTATTTGAAGCATCTGTCATTATATTGCGAAGTAGTGGGTTCATTGCAGTGCCGTAACTAGGGCGGTGCCAGCGGTGCCCAGGCACAGGGCGCAGACCCTGGAGGGGCGCAGAAATGACCAGACCAGTATCTAGTTTTGTTACACCTTACACAATGGCTCCGCAGGCACACCCCCCCCCCCCCCGTAGAAGGTTACTTTTTATTCAAAAAGGTTACATTTTATATTTCTGGTAATTTCTGACAAGACCCGACAAGGCGCAAGTTTTTCAGGGGCGCAGTTTTGAAAGCTCGCACCGGGCGCATAAAAGGCTAGTTACGGCACTGGTTCATTGTCTGTTCAGTTATTTAAGTGACAAAAAAGTAGTTTTCATATTACTTCATTTTCCACCAGTTCATCCATTATAATCTGAGCAATATCTATAAAACCTTCCTCTCACGAAGCCCAGGTGTATCTACGCCGTGTACAACTTCACGACAGCTTATACACAAATGATTAGCCACTTCACACAAAAAACAGAATCTGAGTCGAATATTCACATATAGTCCGATCGCCGAGCACGTAGAAGTTTGGCCAATGACCCCAAGCTACCCATCCTTATCGCTCGCGCGTAATTATACCTATTGCTGTCGCGATTGTGCGACGGGCGGCCGCAGTGAGTGTGCGAGCGCGACAGCAACACAGATTCGTGCGAGCGATAAAGATGGATAGCTTGGGGTCATTGGACGAAATTCTACGTACTCGGCGACCGGGCTTTAACAATGATGTTTAACGATAACGCAAGCAGGCAGCCGTTTGATGTAACGCGAGTCGCATGGATAACTGGATGACCTTCACTTCAGTTTTCAATGACCCCGTCTCATTCACTGACGGGTATGCTCCAAGCCATCCTATTGGCTGGCATGTTTGCTCGTTTCTTCTCGGCCACAGCGACACTGCTAGCGCGCGCGGGACACGGATGTATCTNATTTATCCGTTTTCAAAGCTATTTCTTCCAAACATTGTTTTTATTTCACACGAAAGAGAGAAATTCGTTAACACTTTTTGAAATTTTGAGGTTAGGTTTCAATTAGATTTTTGTTCACTGTTTTCACTATTTACACTTTGGTCTTTTAATGAGTTAACAGCAATTGCGAGGAATTAGCACTATTGGAGTCCAGTTATAACACTTTTTAGTCCAGATTAGCAAAATTCACGAAAATATGCAAAAAGTTGTCGGAAGTATAGACTGACGCGAGCGCGTTCCGTTTCACAATAACTAGTTATTTGAAGCATCTGTCATTATAGTGCGAAAGTGAGGGTTCATTGTCTGTTCAGTTATTTAAGTGACAAAAAAGTAGTTTTCATGTTACTTCATTTTCCACCAGTTCATCCATTATAATCTGAGCAATATTTATAAAACCTTCCTCTCACGAAGCCCAGGTGTATCTACGCCGTGTACCAATATCTCCACGACACACAATATCTCCAATACACAAATGATTAGCCACTTCACACAACAAACGGAATCTGAGTCGAATATTCACATATAGTCCGGTCGCCGAGCACGTAGAAGTTTGGCCAATGACCCCAAGCTACCCATCCTTATCGTTCGCACGTAATTATACCTATTGCTGTCGCGATTGTGCGACGGGCGGCCGCAGTGAGTGTGCGAGCGCGACAGCAACATATGTAGATTCGTGCGAGCGAAAAAGATGGATAGCTTGGGGTCATTGGACGAAATTCTACGTACGCGGCGACCGGGCTTTAACAATGATGTTTAACGATAACGCAAGCAGGTAGCCATAATTTTACATTGACATTTTACATTGACATTTTTTTTTTTTAATCATTTGACATTTATATTATTGAATCCTATAATTTTTGCACGTCTGTGATCAGACTAAACACATCATGATCCTATTTTAATATTGTCACCCTGTATTACTGTGTTTTTAGCAAATAAACGTTTTGAATTTGAAAAAAAAAAAAAAAATTTAGCCGTTTGATGTAACGCGAGTCGAATGGATAANTTCACTTCAGTTTTCAATGTTCCCGTCTCATTCACTGACGGGTATGCTCCGAGCCATCCTATTAGCTGGCATGTTTGCTCGTTTCTTCTCGGCCACAGCGACACTGCTAGCGCGGGCCACGGATGTATCTTTTTCGTTTCGTCATCGCGTTATTTGATCGCTAACTTAGAGCGGTCGGTTGATAATTGTTTTGGATCATGAGTTTCTAACAAAACATATTATTATTTTCCAGTTTGCCAACACTTTAAAAGTCAATAAATGTATGAAAATGATGAATCATCGAACTTGTATAACTTTGTTCTGAGTGGTCCTACAACTTTTGTGCCATATTAACTATTGCTCCAAATAGCTAGTTCTAACAATACGTACCATAATTTTTTGTTGGCCGGCNAGAGCGGTCGGTTGATAATTGTTTTGGATCATGAGTTTCTAACAAAACATATATGTAATTATTTTCAAGTTTGCCAACACTTTAAAAGTCAATAAATGTATGAAAATGATGAATCATCGAACTTGTATGACTTTGTTCTGAGTGGTCCTACAACTTTTGTGCCATATTAACTATTGCTCCAAATAGATAGTTCTAACAATACGTACCATAATTTTTTGATGGCCGGCACTTTTAGAAAAGGCCCAAAAAGAATGATGTCCTTTGGCAAGCAGGTACCTTAGTAAACTTAAAGCTTAGTTATAACAGGATATTGCAAAATTCCTACGGGAACGGGAGTTAGCGGGAAAAAACATTTGTATGAAAAAATCTAAACTGCGTAAGATAGATGAAGGGGGTAAAACGGGATCCACGCGTACGAAGACGCGGGCGGCCGCTAGTATTGTAATAAATTATACTCGTATATAATAACTTTAGTAAAATATTTTTTTTTATTTTTACCTACCTAATCGTTTTTAAGTTTTTATTTTTTATGCATACGCTTATTTTATAAAAACATGTACAAAAGTTGTTATTATTTTAATTCTGATTCAAAAGTAATATTTTTCTTTTTTGTTTAACCTTAACAAGATGTTCAAACTTGGTTTCAAAGAATAACAAATTATCAGAACAGTAATAATTTATACATACCGAGAAGTCATTTACATAAAACTTCAAGTAAACATTTAATTTTCAAATTCTTTTTATTTCTTGTGATTTTACATCGATTGCTAATAAGACGACATTATGACCTAATAAAATAAAGTCAAGATATTTACATTTTACTGTTTCTACATTGTTTATAAGTAATAAACTATTTAAGATTAAAGTACCTACTTAAATAAAATTAATAAAGAATTTTATATAATTTGTCTTGTAGCGTAGTAAATCCATATTTTTTTTTAAGATTTAGGTGGGTACCTAGTTAACCCTTTACCTACGGGCCCTTGGAAACCAAAGTCGCCTCTCAATACGGGGTATTTTAACCTATAAAATTGTTTGCTCCACTTAACATCAATATATTTTAAAATTTATGAGACTTACGGTACTGAAATTTGGAATATTATATTCTGCAACTAATGTAGTTTCATAATCACAAGCGCATTTTACACTTAATTTGCAATTTTATTGTTTTTTTTTCGTAAACCGTGATTTAGTATTGGCTTTGCCAAAATTACAATAGATGCCACCCGTATTGAGAAGTGACTTTTGACTTGGCAACTATAGGTGCCTCCCGTAGGTAAGAGGTTAAAGTTTGGTAAATTACAAAAGAATACATTACTTTATTTAATTTATTTAGAATAATTAGTTAAATAATCAATTTAAAACAGATAACTACTGACACAAATAAATATCATAGTTTAAAAGTAATAACAAAAGCTTCTAAAAGTTTCTTGGTGAATGTTACCTCCAAACTGTTTTGTGGAATTAAAATTATATTCATATTTAAGTTTTTCTTTTAAACAAAGCTTTCAACTTA